TGTGTATATATATATATATATATATATATACACACACATATACATATACATATATAATTACTATTGTATATATAATACTCTTCTGTTTGGCACTGTTAACTTGTCTTCTACCTGTGAAAATTACTAATGTTGATACATATATCTCTACTTCATTCTGTGCTATACTAGACAAATATCAAGATTTATCTTAACTATTACAAGTTAATTTCATGATAGGATAACCAAGCATTCCTTAAGCTCATCTTTCTTTTTTTTTAACTCTAATATTTTATTTTATATCATTTTAAATTTTTTATTTAAATCCAAGTTAGTTAACATACAGTGTAATAATGGTTTTGGCAGTAGAATTTAATGATTCATCCCTTACATATAACACCCAGTGTTCACCCCAGCAAGTGCTCTCCTTAACACACATCACCCATTGAACCCATCCCTGTACCCAACACCCATCCAGCAACCCTCAGTTTGTCCTCTGTATTTAAGTGTCTCATGTTTTGCCTCCCTCTCTGTTTTTATCTTATTTTACCTTCCCTTTCCCAAGTTTTTCTGTTTTGTTTCTTAAATTCCACATGTGAATGAAATCATATGGTATTTATCTTTCTCTCACTGACTTATTTTGCTTAGCACAATACACTCTAGTTCTATCCACATTGTTGCAAATGGCAAGATTTCATTCTTTTTGATTGCTGAGTAATAGTCCATTGTATATATATACCACATCCTCTTTATCCATTCGTCAGTCAATGGACATTTGGACTCTTTCCATGATTTGGAAAGGTTTATTTTTAATTTTTTGAGGAACCTACATACTGTTTTCCAGAGTGGCTGTACAAGTTTGCATTCCCACCAGCAGTGCAAAAGTGTTCCCCTTTCTCTGCCTCCTCACCATCATCTGTTGTTTCCTGAGTTGTTAATTTTCACTACTCTGACAGGTGTGAGGTAGTATCCCATTATGGTTTTGATTTGTATTACCCTGATGATGAGTGATTTTGAGCATCTTTCCTTGTGTCTGTTAGCCATCAGGATGTCTTCTTTTGAAGTGTCTGTTCATGTCTATTGCCCATTTCTTCACTGGATTACTTGTTTTTTGGGTGTTGATTTTCATAAGTTCATTGTAGATTTTGGATACTCACCCCTTATCTGATAGGTCATTTGCAAATGAAGAAGTTGCTGTGGCTGAGGTCAGAGAGGTTGTTGCCTGTTTTCTCCTCTAGGATTTTGTTGGTTTCCTGTCTTACTTTTAGGTCTTTCATCCATTTTGAGTTTATTTTTGTGTATGATGTAAGAAAAGGGTAAGGTCATCTATCATTTTAAATCTTTTTTTTTTAATAGTTTGTTGTCAAGTTGGTTTCCATATAACACCCAGTGCTCATCCCCACAAGTGCCTTCCTCCATGCCCATCCCTCCTTCCCGTCTCCCCCACCCCCATCAGTCCTCAGTTTGTTCTCAGCATTCAGGAGTCTCTCATAGTTTGCCTCCCTCCCCCTCTCCCCCCTATTTCCCCCCTTCTTCTCCCCCACGGTC